ACCTTAATAATACTAGTTAAATATGAATTATCTACAAACTAAATATATAGGCATAAGTAATTCTAACTCTTTTAGAAACAAATTTTATATTTTAAAAACAGATATCTTATAATCTAAATATATAGAAGTAAGTGGATAGCGAGATCTAAAGATGAGCTACAGAAAATAGTAAATATCTCAAATAAATTCTATGAGATAAATGATATTGAAATAAATAGTAAAAAGTCAGAGCTAATAGTTATGAATGCCAAGAAAAAAAGGAAAGAAAAAGAAATACTAGCAATTAAAGTAAAAAAGAATCAGGATGAAGTCCTTGCAAAAAAAGACAAAGACATAGTAAGAAAACAATATTATAGCCTAAGTATCATAAGAAATGAAATGAGCAGGATATGCAAAGCAATAAGATGGAAAAGAGTATCAGCAAGCTAGCTCATATACTTAAACAATAGTATTCTGCTACCTAGCATAGAATACAAACTATAAACAATATTTATAAGCAAATCTAAATGCGAAAATATACAAAGACCAATTTGAACTTTAATTAAAAACAAATTAGAGTTAGCTAAATCAATAGCAAACTCAATTTGTAATCACATAGGTTTTCTAGACATGAGATCAATTTGGCAAAACTAGCTTGTACATCACTTTACAGAGCTCATTTTATGTCTTAACTAGCAAGGCTTTTTAGGAGTAACAACAAGACTAAGAGTTAAAGAAAGGCAACTTCAAAACAAATACTTATATAGTCCTTTGAGCAAGAACTGTAGATTTAATAAACTAGTTTTTACACACAATTTGACTATAAAAGTATTGCATGAAGTAGCTAAACTAAATATAAAGATTAATAAGATTCTAGAAGATTCTGATGCTCTCAATATCAAAGGAACAGAAATAGCAAGTTTACTAGACATAAAAGAGCTCTATTCCTTCTTAAACTTAGACAAGATGAATTTTTTTATACTGGAACAGCTCATAAATAATACAGGAAGTCATATATTAACCTAGAATCAACTAAAACATATAAGAGGTGAAAAATCAAAGGGCCGTACTCCAAGCTAGTTTAAAAAACTCGAAGAAAGTGTACTAAAAGATAACAGCTCTAGAGAAATACAAGATATATATAAAGTAAGGAGCCCTAATAGAGAAGTGATAAAAATCTAATCACAAGTCATCTCTAAAGATAGATAGAAAAGAGAATAGATGCTTTTCTAAAGAAGAGAAGGTTTTCATATAGGAAAAATAGTAAGAAAAACAGAGAAACTTTTAATAGTTGAGCACTGAAGATAATCAAGCCAACTAGCAGAGAACTGCTTATTTGAAAAGTGTAGCTGTTATAATATAGAAAGCACTAGTAAAAATAAGTGTCTAGTCAGTATCAGATATGATGAAGAGCCTCAAGCAGTTAAAGTAAAGAAAAGGAACAAAAAGGAAGCAATATTAAGAGTACCACTATTAGCATTTATCGAGAAGAAAAAACTTTATACAAATTATAAGACAAACCAAGAGGTATCAGTAAAGATTACAGCAAATAGTCTCGAAAGTGCAATTATACAAAGAGTAGTAGAAAATAAAAAGATCAAGAGAGAGCTAGTAGATACATATGAGAAGCTAAAAGAGAAGAAAATTATTAAGTATTACACTAATAGAACGCTAGCAAGAAGTAGTAGAAAGCTAGAATCTAGTAGAATGGAAGCTAGTTAGGTAATAAGTTCTTGAATACTTTCAGATATTTCTAAAACTATAGCTATTTGTTAGGTATACTATAGTAATTAGTTAAAAAGAATAAAGTTTTATTTATATTATCAATGAGTATGTTAATCTATTTTTCACTATTATTAGATATAGTTTGATAAATATCATTAAGGTTGTAGCTAAAGTAAGAGTTTTGAGCTACTTTAGTATAGAATAATTTTTTTATTAATAAAACATTAGTTGATATATATATATATATCTGAGTTTAATATATTTTGTCTATTATAGTATTATATATTCAGTAAGAAGATAATAATACAGATTACTTAATAAGTTCATATTTAGTTTAATCTGCTCATAATTAGTTTAGAAGGTCTGTTATATTACTATGTTTGGTATTTATTTATTTATTCATATTTGTAATTTGTATATTATTATTACTATTAGAATCTGATTTAATTTCTGTTTTAGTCTGAGTTTCAATAAGTTATATAGTATTAGTTTCTATATATAATGTATAACTAGTTTTAAAAAAGGTTATATAAATATTTAGTGTAGTTGTTATGAGTATAGTATTAAAAAGTAAAACAGTATCATATAGTATAATAGAGAATATAGAGTTTAGTTTGTAGATGTTAGTTTCAAGATAATAGTTTTTTGTATTTTAATATATTTAAATAAATAATAAAAATAGATTATATTAGTAGTAATATTGTCACACTTATAATTTTCTATTTCTTTATTTTTCTTTTATTTTATTTTTAGTTTTATTATTTGATTTAGTATTTTTATAATATATTTGTTATAGTTTTTATTTATTTTGTTTAGTTTTTGTATTTGTTACCCATACAGAGTGCCGATAGCAGTATGGATGAGTTTTATTATTTGTTTAGTATAGTATTTTAGTATAGTTTTATTAGTAATAGTTTTGTATAATGATTAGTCATAGTTTTTAGTTATGTTATACAGAAAATTGTAGAATAGTCTAGAATATTATGGAATGTTTTAGAATGTCCTGAAATATCTTGAAATTACATAGCAACTTCTGGAATCTTATAGAATATTCTAGAACCTTTTAGAATTTTCTAAGTATTATTAATCAATAATTAGTAATATGCATTACCTTAACATTATGTGAAGAGCACTGCGAATACTACCTTTAATACCATAAATATCATAGCTAAAAATAACTATTGGTCTACTCAAACACTGCAAATACTAACATGGATTACTAATCCTTAGGAACCAAAGGTTATAAATACAGGCCTTTTTCTCCCTTGACTTGACATGATATAGAATTAAAATCATATTAGTTCCTAAAGCAAGATAAATAATAATAATCCCTCTAAATAACAACTACTCTCTAGTTCTTAACAATAAACAATATTTTAATATTTTTAGTCTTCTCTTAGGCAAATTCTTGCACTTCGTTTCTTTATAATTTTTCTTTATTATTTTTGGTTTTTTTAGTTTTTGTTATTAGAAATAACGTTTTTTTTTCTTTTATTTTTGATTTTATTGATTTTGGTTTTGTTTATTTACTGATAAATAAACTGGTATCTTGAATAATAACTGTAAAAAACCTTCTGCTACCTAAAAATTTGCAGATTAATAAAGAACTGCTTGTAACACTATTATCTAATTTCTAACATCACTATTTTCCTATTTTTTGCTACTTTGATTGATTTAAGACTACTAGAGACATAGAATTTATATAGTAAGAATTTGTAAATTATATAAGCAATATATATAATTTATATAATTTGCTAATTATTAAAAATAAAAAGTGCGATTTAATATTTTTAGCTCAAGCAAAAAAAAAAAAAAAAAAAATTTATCTTATGTCATAAAAAAAAAAAACTTAAAATTTTTTAAATACTATGCTTAACTAATAAGCAATTTTAAAATACTGTGCTCAACTATTTTATGATTTATCTAATTTAGTAATTATACTCAGATAAAGATTTTTGCTTGAATAATATAGTAATTCATCTGAGTTAACTTGAGTAATCTCTAATCTAATTTATAATTTATTTCATATATTAACATACTAATACTACTAGTGATAGTATTGTGATTTTTTTTTTTTTTTTTTTTTTTTTTTTATACAAATGCTATCGGCTTAACTTTTATTAATTTCGTAAATTTCAGAGGTGATACATATTGTGAGAGTACAACTAGCCACATGTACAATTTTAGGTTGTCTATTTTAAGTAGTCCATCTGAAGGTTCTACACTAGCTGCCATACCTGAAATCTCTTAGAAGATTCCCTATTTAATCTCTCTGGCCCTATCTCACTTACTGAAAGTACTACTCTTTAAGTTAAACCCATAACCCCGTGCTACTCCACTTCGGGAGGCACCCAAGCTGATATTAGTCACAAACTTTACTGTTATAGGCCAAGGTCTTACCTGAATAAGTCCCACTACAATACCTCCTAACAGATGGGTGTCACGATACCCAACTATGCTACGCTATATCCCAATCTAGCTTGTATATACTCTTATTCGATGTTTGTATGAACCCAGTTTCTTCTGTGGCTGTCTACCAGATTAGACTTCTTTGTATTTCCAAATGTTTCGCGAAGCAGATCCTCCCAATCTAGTTAGCTGCCAAGCCAAGTTAGTGTTGCCATAATACTCAGTATCACAGACTTACTCGCACCTACTCAATCTACATCTTCGTACTCAGAGATCTTCACCGGATTAGGCGTTAACTGGTGTGACCATTAAAATTCGTACTACTTTACCTAACTTAGGATTTCTACTATGCAGGTCCTCTGCTCGTAGATCCTATCTCGATTTATTCATGTAATGCAACTCCAATATTCTGTCATACTTCTAATGTCTGAACAACATTGGTGCAACATGATTTACAAGGTTATAACCTCCAGAAACAGACAGAGTTTTACCGTAAGTTGGGTACAGATGTCTAAGTAATTATTCAATTCTGTCGACAGTGGGATTTGAACTCTAGACCTCTTGCATAGCAGTCCAACAACCTATCCACTACACTAGATCGCCAGACCCTAGTATTGTGATTTAAAAGTTTAAAATCAATCAATTTAAATCAGATTTAAATCTATTTCAATAAGATTTAATTATTAAATTTATATACTGGTAACCTCTAGTTATTCTTAAATAAATTCAAAAATTAATTTAAATTTAAAATTTATTACATAATCATTAAATGATTTTAAGCTAAATTAACAAACTTTATTAAAAAAAAGCTGAGCAAGTACATCTAATAAAAGAGTACAGGTAAAAAAGATATATATATGTATATAATAAAATAAAGAGAAACAAAAATGAGTTAAATACTGAGAAAATAATATAGTTATATAAAAAATTATCTCTATATGCACCTTTAGAACTAAAAATATTTATAAAGAAGATGTATTTATAATTTGTAAGATCATTAGAACTGGTAGTATACAATTAAAACTTATTTAAGGAGAACTTATAGTCCTGTTCAAAAAAACTTTACTCAGAGAAATTATAACTGCTAAGGCTATAGCTTCTGCACAGAAATTTAATAGACTCATATTATTATATTTTGACATTTTTATTATGTAATTTAACAAAAAAAAAGATTTTATTTTATAAATTTTTTTTTTTATTATTCTGATAATTTAATTATATCAGGTGTTTTTTAGATAATTAAACATTATTTAATCCTAATATTATATATAGCTTATTTTATTAAATAGTACCTCTGTATTTTAAGAAATGCTAATATTTCTTTTTTTTTTTAATGAAAGTATTTTAATATTAAATTGCTAATAGATAAATATAAAAACATAAGGTTTTTAATCATCTTATCTTGTTTACATAAAATTTGAAGTATCTATTTAAAATATAGTCTCTTAAAAAGATTTGCAGGCAAATTTTCTTATAAATTTTTGATAAAAATTATTTTTGCTAGTATTTTTAAAAGCATCTTAGCTTAGTAAACATATATTTATAATTGCCAAGTTGAAATTTAAACTGATACAAGTCACTCTTGTTATAGTGAACTCTTGATATAGTGAAGTTAAGCTCAAATTCAGTCTTTGTAAAATCCTCTTGATATAGTGAATTTACTAATAAAGCTTTTGATATAATAAATTTTAAAAAATTTTTATTAATAGAATAGATCACTTCACTATAACAAGAGTGACTTGTGATTAAATTTAAAAAATTTTCTTATTTAAAGTTCTAATGTCTAATAAATTCTAAACAACAGTATCATAATTTGATTAGATCATTTAAATATTATTTAATATAATAAATATATTAATAGTTGAACAAATTTTTGTGCAAAGTAAATCTCTAGTTTTGGACCATACTTAAACTGAGCCTAATTTTAAAATAAGCCTAGCTTGGGTTAGCTATTCTAGGCTTTTTTTTTTGAACTGAATTTAGACTCAAAATTATTTTTTGAGCTTGATATAGGCTCTAATCAAGCCTAGCTTAACTCAGCTCATACTATACCTTAATAAATATTCATGTTACAAATATAAAACAGATATCCATTCAAAATCTGAATATTGTTCAATACTATTCATGAATATCAAAACCCATGAATATTTGCTGAGTAGTCATAATGGATATTCAAAGAATCCAACCTCTATTGTAAAGTCATATTAAATCTGCTAAATACTAAAGTAATATAAATAAGTATTAGAATTATTAAAAGAAATAGTTTAAACTTAAATACAATACATTAAAAGATTGTAAGAGTTTTTTTCAAATCTAAATTTACCTTAAACGTCTCAATCTTCTTTTTTCTGTTGTTCGTTTTTGATATTTGAAACTTATATATAGTTAATATAACTAGTACTAGTAAGTATATAATAAAAATATTCGCTTCTAAGTGAAGTTCTTAGAAAGGTGGATTATTTTGAATTAATTTTAACAATGAATAATAACGTTCGTTAAGAACTAGAATTTGCTTTTACGGAGGTTTTTTTGTTAGTGAAACGTTACATTCTCAAAAAGTATAAATAAGTTACCCGGGCAATTGATTTACATCAGCCAATCAGACGAAAGTCTGCCTATGATCCCTGACCCCCCGCCAATATATTATTACTCTGACCTAGGCAAAAGCACCATCACTACTACTGCTCAAACCTCATCTTCTGTAAAGCTTTGGGACTCATTTTTTGAAGAAGCCAACTCGTATCAATTTGATGCTAATATTAAACAATATCCATATCCAACTTTTAAAAGTTATAATAAATCGTATGATCTTTAAATGAAGTTGTAAGAGGAGCTTTAAAGAACAATATATTTGATAATCTTCACATCAAATATAACTTCAAGACAGCCAATAGAGTGTTTAAGTGAATTTCAAAGGATGATAATGTTATCGGAGAACCTGTTTTTATTTACAGACGAGTTGGAAAATTATTTTTACCAATTGAGGTTAAGACCTTCTGGATACTATATTTAGACACTTCATGAGAGATACGAAGAAGACTTGAAGAGGGAAAGAAGTGAAACAATACCTCCAGATTCCAGTAGTAAGTTTCTGTTGTGGACATCATTCGCCAGAGTTTGGGGGTATCTAGTTGCTAATCGATTACAATATGGTATCCTTACAACTTTATAATCAACATTGGTTCCTTAGGTTTCATAGGTCGTAGTTTTGTTCCTTATCTCGTAGAGAATGACTTTGCCTCCGAAATAAGAGTGTTGGATAAAGTATTACTTGTAACAGCCGCCCTCAATCTCAAACAACAAGAGGCGTTCTCCCAAGTTGAAGACTGGCAGAAGGACCTTGTTGATCGTGGTATGTCGTGTCGTGTCATTTTCGTTTTATCCCTTTAAAAACATTTGATTTATAACACACAAAGTGTGTACTATATATTATTATTATAAATTTGTTAATTAAAAATGTATCCATACTTCATTATGATTGGATAGTTTCCATCGAAAAATCTTTTACACGAGCGGATGGAAGTTCATACGATTATGTCTTTAATTTAGCAGCAGAAGCAAAGTATTCACAAATCGAAAAGGTCTGTATCATAAGTAATTGTCTTTGCAAGATATACTTTAAACCGAATTACAAAATAATTGTTTAGTTATACGTGAATAAATTTAAATATTCATTGCTTATGCTCAATCTTCAAAGACAAATTGCGTGTTATGTAACATCAAATTTCTTGTTATGCAAGTTTATGAAGAACGTGTTTACACTCTGTCCGTCTGAAATGCAGAGGAAACTGCTCGAAGAAATGTCAAGGTATTTGTAGAAATGTCTACTGCTGAAATATATCAAGCAGATAAAGTAAGTAATTCTTATCTAATATTTTGGGCTTAACGATTACATTTACTGAAATTGATAAGAACCCTAGTAAAGAAAATGATAAGGCTAAACCATGGACGATGTGTGCAAAATATAAGTATAAAGCCGAAGAAAAGATAAAAGCCATTGAGGGGTAAGTAATTTTTTAATTAATTCATTTAATTAATTATATAAGAGCTAATACTTTTTAACTTTATACCTAATTTAAACTTTATGATATTATGACCTACTATAGTTTATGGTTCTGGAGCAACTATGGGCTTAAGTAAGTTTACGAGTTTGAGCTGCATTATTATTGAATTTTTACTTAGGAATTTAACAAAATTAACAAATTATTACATTATTAATAGCTCCTCGTATTGTCTGTGGTCGAATTTACAAGTTATTAGATGAAGAAATGAAGGTCCTTTGGTCTAAGGACCTTAAAATTAATACTGTCCATGCATTGGAAGTTGTACGTGCTTTGTGGCATGTCGCAACTTGGTATCAGAATAATGACAAGGCCGGTAAAGGAACTTCTATTTATAATTTAGCTGATTTGGGTAATACAGGTACACTTAACTCTGTTACAATTTTTTATTAACATTTTTGTTTCGTTATCTATATAATAATAATGATAAATTGACTGGTAAATAATAATTTATAAATTGACTGGTAAATAATAATTTATTATTTTTAGATCAAGAACGAATTAACAAGTATCTCAGCAACATCTTTGGTATAAAGACTGGATTTTATGGCACCATAACATCTAATCTAGCATAAGTTCGTATTATATCATTTATATTGATTTCATTTAGCTTTGATGTTACTAATTTTTTTCCTTAACAGTTGAATCTTGATAGCGCAGTAGATGACAGCAATGAAAAACACATGGGTCCTTCGAAGACCTAAAAATGAACCACGCGCCCTCTATTTCTCTCTTACAGTATAAATAGAATTGAGGAATTCAGTGCTACGCTTATATACAACATCTGTCTAGATAGGTACTAAATGTCCTAGCCCAGGAGCAACACCCATCATCACCACCAAAATGAAAGTTCAGATAATATTACTTCGGGTTCGGACTATGAGGAAACTCTAAAGACACATAAATTAAAACGAAAACGAGGAAAACAATTCGGCTAAAAAAGGTTGACTGTAAATAGTAATATCCGATTGGGAATAGCATATGTTTCTATTTTTTTTCGTATCAATAAACCGACTCTTAAAGTCATGCATATTTATTTACATTTGTAAAATTTAAATTTTTTATTCGTAATAACATGAAATAAATTATAGAATATTTCTTAAATTACACATGGTGTATATACACATGATTTGTAATAAATAAATTTATTATAAAAAAAAAAAATTTTTTTTAACTTTAGGGTTAAAGTGAGGCTTGAAATTTTAGCAAAAAGTTACATATATGCAAAATTTAGCAAGGAATTTTTTTTGTTAGTTTTACTAAAATTTTTTTTTGTTACACAAGCATGTTACACCTGATCTTAAATCTTGATTGGCTTTTCTAATACTTTGTATCACTATGTGTATATTGTAAAGGGCTAATATAATTTCCGCTCATCAACCTACTATTTTCTTTTTCACGTAATTTAGGCGTTCCGAAAGATTGAATATTTTTTTTTATATTATTTATTTCTAAATTCAATATGTATAACCTTTTGAGGTAAAAGATTTACCAATCAAAGTTTCTTAATATAGATCATTACCTGTAAATAGTAAGAAACTTGTTATGTAGTGCAATAAATTCAATTTATCTAATTTATTGAATTTATTAGATAAATGGTATTAAAGACATATAAAATATAAATTGGATAAATCATTTTTATTCAAAATGTATTTACTAGTATCATGAAAAGTATAAAAGTAAAGGTCTGGTGATCTTAGTGTAGTAGTTAGGTTGCCAGATCATCATGCAAGAGATTTGGGGTTCAAATCCTACTGTCTATGAATTTGAATAATTATTCAGACCTTTATACTTAACTTATAGTAAATTCTGTTTGTTTCTGAGAGTTACAACTCTGTAAATCATATTGCACTAATGTCAATTAGACATTAGAAGTGTGATGCAATGTTTGAGTTACATTGCATGAATAAATCTTGATAGAATCTACAAGCAGAGGATCTGTATAGTAGAAATCTCGAGTTTGATAAAGTAGTCAAGCTAGTTAATGCTTGATCTAATAAAAAACTTAAGTATGAAGGATATGAGATCGAAAGGTATGAGTAAGTCTGCTATGTAATACAACTAGATGCTTTGTATTAGTAGTAATACTAACTTGGTTTGGTAGCTAACTAGATTAAGTAGATCTATCTTGTGAAATATTCAGCTAAAACTAGGAGAATTATATCTAGTTGAGAGTCACAGCAGGAACCAGGTTTGTATGAACATCGACAAGGGTCTTTTCAAGTGAATCTATGAAATAAGCACATAACTACACTAGTAGGAATTACTTCTGAAGTTAACTGAAACTCTATGTGTTTACAATATGTTAGGCAATTCATATTTCAAAAGAATCTAAATTGTGCAATAAATGAATTTATGAGTAAGTCAGCTAGCTTAAGTAGTCAGATATAGTATGACGTTAGTTTAAAATAGGAGAAAGAATTAATGATCAGAGTGTTTAAATAGATAACTTATAGGCAGATTGCAGGTATAGTAGTATAGTATAGAACTAATAGATGGTTGATTATTTGTATAGCAAACTATTTAAATTAGACAATGACTAAAGTTATACATGTAGCTTGTAGTATACTCATCATAAAACTGTAAAACCTTAGAAGATTACTACTATAGTAACTCTGTAATTACAAATTAATAAAATCTAATCAGCTAAGGAAGTAGCCTTAACAAATAAAAAAAAAAAAAAAAGTATAAAAGTGATATCTTTTTCTTTTTAATAAAATAAACATTGAAGAGTTAAAAGCTTTCAAGTTCAGAAAACTTTCAGAGTTTGAATAATAACTCTAAATAAGTTTGTTGTTTATAAGTCTAATACTTTGAAATTCAAGTAAAAGTATTGTGATCTTGTTTTCTTATTTGTTAAAAATATATTTTTATTATTAATACCTTATTTTGTGATAATTAAATTCTCAATTAATTTAAATAATAATTAATTGACCTTTAGATAGTCATATAAATCTCTATTGTTTAAATTAATAACCAATCATACTAGAGACCAGATCATATACTACATGACAAAAAATTATTATACTAGAAAATATAAGAGCCAAATAGGAACAAGTAGAACTAAGGATCTAAAAATACTTATCTTTATAATTCAGAATAATTATTCAAATAAATTTAAAATCTAGATCAAATCTTTTATGTCTTCTTTTAGCCTTCTAACTTAGAGTTGATTATTAAATTAGTACTTAATTATTGAAACCCAAATATAGATATAACTTAACTCTCTAGTTAAGTTCTGTACTAGAACTAGTTGATACCTTTTCAATATATAACTAATATAGTAGTATATAAATAGAAATTATCTAAAATATATACTATATCAATAATATTATATTTTATTTAATTTTTCAAATTTTGAATAAAAAATAAAGTATTATGTAAATTTAAAACTATAATTTTAAAAATTTATATCTGAATATAACTTGATTACAATTCTATATGTATAATTTTTTTTTTTTTTTTTTTTTTTTTTAAACTTAGGCGATCTTACCCTTTATTTTATTGGGTAAATATCTTAGAGACATTTAGACAAATACAAAAAAAAGAAAAAAAAAATTCTAATTTAAGGTATGCTCACCTTGTTGCAATTCTGAATTTACTCAGCTGCTCAGATAGTGCTCAAGTGCAATCTGCCACAGCAGCATAATTTTCCTCCTAAAACTAAGAGCATAATATATATGCCTGCCTAGTCTCGATCAAAAGAAGGCTACTACTAGCCTATATCAAGACCGCCTTAGCTAGACTATTCTATTCTTAATTCTAAATACTACTCTAAAAAGAAAGATAGAATACAATCTAACTAATGCAAGAAAGAAATAAAAATTGTATAAGATCTGAGTGGTAATGATCTATACTTAATATCTAAACTATAAAAAAAACCTGCTACAGTTTAAAACAAACTAGACTAGATGTATAAAACAAAATAAAGAGAAAAAAGAAAAAAGAAAAAACAAGAAGATGAGGTAGTATACTATACTGCTCCTAGTATAGCTCAGATAAAAATTGTATATAGCTA